TGGAAGTGCCCTCAGCCTAGCTAGGCCTTCAGGCTTTCTAGTGATTAGCAACATTCCACAGACCTAAAATCACCTAGCACAGACATACACTGTTTGTTGGTGTGGCAGAACAGTACCCAATTGTTTCAGCTATTGTCATCCTAAGACATGGAGTATGAAGTGTTTAAAAAATTAAAACATCAAGTCCAAAAATGTATTATTAATAAAAAATGTTGTTTTCAAAACAATCATACTTGAACTTTCAAGCCAAGAGAAGATAGAAAAGTTAAGTACATATGGCTAAGTGAAAAGAGCCAGGTGGAAAAGTCTGGATACTCCACGCTTCCAGTCATGGTATTTTAGAAAAGATGAAACTATAGACTGAAGGGAAAATATTAGTGATCACCAAGGTTTACTGGGGAGAGACACACTTGCAGAGGACAGATAAAGTTTAGGGCATTGAACCTATTGGATAAGCTGTTAAATAGTGGCTACATTTCACTGTATATTGACAAAGACCATATAACACCTAGTTTCAGTAGTAACCCAGAATGTAAGCTCTGCTGTGGTGAGCACAGCTAATATACAGTAAGGACGGACTGTTAATGTGTGGCCATTAATCACATAAGGTGTGGCCTTTGGTGCAGATATTGTTTGTAGAGTATGCCTATGTCTGTTATGTAGTAGAGAAACAGTATGTGTGTGTTTGTTTGTGTGTGTTTGCGTCTGTGCATTTGTCTGTGTGTTGAGGACTGGTAGCATATTGATAGCTCTACCTTCTCACTTTTGTGCTGACTTAAAATTGTTCTTGAGAATTAGTCTTTATTTAAAAAAATCAAAAACAAAACAAAAAGAATCATGCAGCTCTGAGGGGCAAAATAGAACATTCAGTTATGTTTGCTGAAATTAAAACCTTTCTTCCCACTTGAGGCCAAATTCAATTCAGAATGACACTCTTTATAGTGGGTATATCCTAATTACCTTCCCCTAAACTGTGACAATCTTCAGTCTTTCTTTGTATTGAGCAGTGAGTGGTTCTCAACCATACTGTCACTGTAACCTTTTAATACAGTTCCTCATGCTGTGGTGATACCCAACCATAAAATTATTTTTATTGCTGCTTCATAACTGTAATTTTGCTACTGTTATGAATCATAATGTAAATCTCTGGGATGCAGGATATCTGATATGTGACTCCTGTGAAAGGGTTCAACCTTTACAGGGGCCATGACCCACAGATTGAGAACCACTGGTTTAGAGTGATCCTGACTGTCTTGACACCACTTTCAAAATCTTTGGCAAGATGTAATTGATTTAGACAGTATTTGTTATTTTCTCATGATCTTATTTGCCTTATATATTTTTGGCAAAAAAAAAAAAATCAAGGAAAAAATTTCTGTCCTTTTCAGTACATTGTTTTGTGGGGGGGACAGGGTGTTGATAATATATAGCTCTTGTTCATCCTGGGGTTAATTACTTGATAAAGGTAGCATGTATCTCATCAATTGATGTTACTATTTTCCCAACATAATTAGGGCGCTTCCTGTGCAACCTACTTTACATCTGTAAATACTCTGTTTTTCTTTTTTCCCCCCTCCAATGTTAGAACATACTGGTCATCTTCTGAATTACTGTGACTTTGACAAGCTTTCTTCTTCTAAATGCATTCATTAGAATTTTATTCTCCATGCATATTTATTGAATATTTGCTGTCATCTGACTTCCTGGATATTTCTTTCTATATCTATCGTGTAATATCTGCTCTACTTATTTGTGTATTATTTGATTGGGTCCAGATTTGGCTATGGGGCCCCCTGTGGTAGTCTCCTATGACCTGGCCTATTGTTAATTTGTGTCCAGTATAGTATCCCTGATTCATCTTTTAGAATTAGTTATTTCTTTAAGGAATTCCTCTTTTATGTGAGAGTGGTATTTAGAAACCCAAACCTGAGTGTGCTTATTGTTATAAGCAATGACATTTTGTATAGGCCTTCTCAGACACATTCAGGAAATCTGTATACATATGTTTCGATATTGGCATGTATCTGAACATGTGTTCATTCTGTGGATACCTCCAGTCTCAGGTTAGCAGCAAATGACTATTTCTGGCTTTCTCCATTGCTCTTGACAGTGACTTTTAGGATCTTGTTCTTCTTACCCACAATGCATTGGTTTCAGAATTGCTACCATATATTCTTCTGGAAAAAAATGACTGATTCATGTGCCACATTTGTCCCTATAATTACCCTTTTAATCTTATAAAGTAACTTAATATACTGTTTTTCAAAGTTACTATAGCCAGTGCTTTACTCTCCTTGGTGTGACTGTTCCATTTAAATGAAAGAAGATTTGGGGTTCTTTCACCTCTATGTAGGCTTTCTTTTTCATGTGCTGAATAGATTAAATATTTTCTTGATTCTCCAATCCAGAACTGTACAAAAGTTTTTCTTAGAGAATCGTTACCATCTGTGTCTTGGCCATATTTACACTCCATTCTCACTCATCTGCTTATTCTTTGTTTCCACTCCCTGTGGCCAGGCTGTTCTTCAGCATCTAACTTATCCTTCTGTTAGTCATTTGCGGTTACATGGTGACTGTGGGTCTTCATGTCCTTGCTGCATTTTGCAAGAAAGACAACATTTGCTCCTTTGTACCTAGCTTTAAAAATTTTTTTTATTATGTATTTGTTTCTTTGTTTACTTATTTGTCACATATTGGAAATCTTTTTCTAGAAGTTCATGAAGGTCTTCTGCAATCTCTTTTATACTTGCGTAGTGTTCATTCATCTATGTAGACTGACTACAATTTATTCAAATATTTCTTCAATATAAAACTTTTTTTATTATTTTGAAATCTCAGGAATGCCAGAAGGGCATTGTACAAATAAGATGGCTGGTTTAAGTCAACAATTTCACTTGGTATAGAACCACCTGGGAAGAGAGTTTCATAGAGGGATTTTTCTGGGTTCAGTTGGCCTCTGAACAAGTCTGTCAAACATTTTCTTGTTTACATTAACTAGTGTGGGAGAAGCCAACCTCATAGTGGACAGCACCATTCCCTAGGCTTGAGTCCTTAACTGTATTAAATATACAGAAGGTAAGTTATTTTCAGCACTCATGGAGCTCACTGAAGGTCCAGGGTAATGAAATCTGAAAAGACTTTATTAGCATTTAGAGATCTCAGTCTAGGACTTACTTGGTTTGTGGTCACAAGTGTAACTCTCCTTTTGCTCACAAGGTGTAGCACCTGACTGGAAATTTCCATACGTTCTGTCTTACATGTCTGGTCTTTGTTGGGGTAAGAGTCGTTTTGTGGTGTTCAGCAGACATTATGGCTTGGTCGGCTACTGGGCTTACACTTCATCTTGTTGGCTGTACTAAGTTGTCATTCCTGCTCTGCTTTGCCCTTACTGTTTTGGGAAGGCAGACATTCTCAGGGACTCTTTGCCTGATGTTTTACTGGGTTGTTATTTTGTAGACTTTTATTTAGTAATTCCTATCCACTTGGTTACTTTCTTTTTGCCTTTAGCAATTTTTTCCAGTACAAGCATTGTTCTAATCATTCAGTATAACATTATTAGAACTGGCAACTCTTTAGTAAAACATTGTCTCCTGTGAGACTCATGTGTAAACAGTGATAGCCATTTGGTTATTTCTCTTTCTCGACCCATTCTCATAGATGAAGTTGATCTGCTATGTCACACAGTTTTGTGTGTGTGTGTGTGTGTGTCTGTGTCTATATGTCCCTTTGTGTATTAAAACTCTAGCAGGCTTCCTGCCTTTATAGACTTTTATATGATGTAATTTTTAAACTGCAATTTTTTAAATTTAGTTGTAGATCACATTGCAAAGATCCCTTGGGACACTTAAAGGATATTATTTTAGAGTCTAAAGCTTGGTATTTCTAATGGATAATGTCTCTTGTATAGAAGAGGCTGTAAAATCAGGCAAACTTGTATGTCTGCGTCTACACATGTGCCTGCACTCAGAGGCCAGAGGTGGATATCAAGTGACCTTCTCTATTATTCCCCACTGTGTATTTTGAGGCAGGATCTTTCACTGGACTTGGAGTTCACTGCTTTGGTTAGCTTGATCTCCAGGGATCTTCTTGTTTCTGCTTTCCCCAGCATTGAGATCACAGATGCATGTCATTGTGCCTGGCTTTGAATGTGGCATCTAGGGATTGGATTGCAATTAGGTCCTCATGATTATGTGGCAAGCACTTACTGACTTAACTGTCTTATCAGCTCTGATACTCAACTTTGTTGGTAAAATAGCATATGATTAATGACATCTGTGGTTAATGATGATGCTAAGAAAGGTATATTTAGTTGTTGGACTGTGCAGTGTACTCTGTATTTTCATATATTACTTACCGTAAAAACCTATGAATTCAGCATGATCTCATCGTATGTATCATGAATTGATTCATGTTTGCTATCATGTAATTTGTCCAGGCTTTCACATATAATAAGTACAGAAATATGTGCAAAACCCTGAAACAGGTTTTTAGAAATAATGTATTAAAACTCCAATAAAAGCTTCCTGACATTATAGACTTTATAGGATTTAATTCTTAAACTGTACTTTTTTACTTAGTCTTAGATCATGTTAGAAAGTTCCTATGGGACACTGAGGGAAACTCTTTTAGACTCTAAAGCTTGGCATTTCTATTAGAATTGGATAATGTCTCCTGTAAGGATGAGTATAAATTCAGGCAAATGTAAAATAGATCATCAAAGATCCAGGCATCATTTTTAATTCCCAGAGTCCTTCCACTCTTGGTAGCTCAGAGCTTGCCTCAACATTAATACAAAATGCCATAAGTTTCAATGTACATCTTAACTATAAAATTTCTTTTTAACATTTAATTTAATTTTTTGGTATTTATTGTTAACATATAATTCTTATTCCCACATTGTAACTGAAGTAATAATTATTTTTACCATCATTTCTATGCTGTTTGGAAGAGACTGACCAGGATGTTGTTTTACACTTTTCATTATTCCTTTTGGTTTACAGTTATTTGCTGGAGTAAAAGATGGAGAAAGCTTGCAGCTCTTTGAAGAAAGTTCTCGCTCTGCTCATAAGCAAGAGACACACACCATGGAGGCTGTGAAACTTGTGGAATTTGACCTTAAACAAGTACTGACTAGGCTGGTGACACATCTTTTTGGAGATGGTAGGTGTTTCAAGGCTTAATAGTTCAAAAGTTACTGAACATTGTGCAACAAATTATCAAGGCTGGTTTTTAGTAAGGTTTTTTTTTTGTTGATTTGGTTGTGTCTAAATTATAGGGAGAAGGGAGGGAGGCTTTGGTTCTTTCAACTTACAGTTTTATAGGTTAGAATGGAATTAGCTAGAGAAGGAACAGTGATGTCATCAATGGAAAGTGTCTGTTTTGCTTGGTTTTGTTTTTGTGTTTTTTAGATCCCATGGACATGATTCTTCATAATGTGTTGTATCCCATGGCACAATCATACATTGATGTACTGATCGCTATTGTCACTAGGAGAAAAATTAATTGTGCATTCTTATAGGAAGAATAATACTGTTTAGATTTTAGCTCTCATGTTACATGGTTGCCTTCATATCTTCCTCCAAGGAGGCGGGGGAGGGGATACTCTTTGTTCTGTCTGCTGTTGGAGCCACAGTCACCATCCCCAGCTGCATCTCAGAGCTCCCTGATCTGGTTCCCCTGCATGTGTTCATTCCTCCAGACTTCCCTCCTTGCATGAAGGAAAGCATGTGTTTAAGATGACTCTTGTAATTTTAGTGAGGCTCTGCTGCTCTGTTTTAACAAGGCTTATAGGGCTATCTTTTCTTCCATATTATCAGATGCATAATTCATAAAACATTTAAGAAGTCACTAAGAAGCCACTATATATTCTTTATATGGCATACATTATTTTAAATTTGCACATCAACATCAGACATACACATTTCTGGGCAGTAAGGAATAGTAACAGGAGGGTTTGGGAAACTGCTTTCATCTATATTCATGATGTTTTATTTTATAAAAGTATGAAGTAAAATGTGACAAAATGTTGTGATTTGATAACATAGAATAATGGTTGCATGGATGGTTGCTATTTTCTATTTCTGTCTTCAGATTTGAAGCATTTCATATTAAATGATCTAATGTGAAACAGATTTTAGTTCGAGGTTGTTTATTTCAAAAATCCCCTTATAGCTAGCCCCCTTTTACTTCAGAAATAAAAGAATTGTGGCCATATTAGTAGTCACATAATCTACTTAATACTGAAATGTAGGGAGACAGATTATATTGTTCAAATACTTAAAAGACAGGGCAGTTAAGAGGGGATCCCAGTGGTAAGGAGAAATTTCCTGCCTCTAGTAGCTCCACACAGCATGCCTGGCTTTTATCTGCAGTTTTTCCTTTGTTATGTTACGTACAAATTTTTGTGTCCCTCCTTGTCCTGCATTTTTACATATTTCTGTAAGCAAATAATTGCAGTTGCTGTTTGTAAAATATTATGAACTTGACTTCTGCTAGGTTCTACACATCACAGTGTGGAATAATCTAGACCTAATTCCTATCTTCAAGGAGTCAGGCATCTTTATCCTCTACCAAGGCAACATTAAGTGTCGATGAGTGCTCAGGAGAGGTGCCTCATTCAGGATGGATCATGTACTCAGGAGGGTACCTGGTGGAGGATGACGGAGAATTAGCAGGACAGGCACCAGACAGCTAAACAATGGTGTGGAAAAAGGAAGAGGGATAAGCAAGTGTGCAGACATAGGGGCTGAACACTGCAAACATGGCTGGCTACAACAGAGACAAAGCAAACCGGAGGATGGAATGGGACCTGCAGTGAGCCCCATGCCTCTGAGGAATGCTAAGTGGAGTCTGAGATTTCCATGGAAATCACTTCTCTACCTTTTAAACTCCGATGCAGTTACTAGTTTCTTGGTATCTTAGGCTTCTGTTATTTAACGTTTATTTGAAGTAATATGTGTTTCACAAATAAAATATAACATCTAGATTAGGCCTTATAAGTTGAAAACGTTAAATTTAGTGTAAATATGGAAAAAAAATTCCTAAGGAAGAGGTGAAAATTAAGACATTTTTGTTCCAGATTGATGGCTCAGTACATAAATGTGCCCAGGGTTTCTCCTAACAACCTGAGCTTCCTTCCCAGCGCCTACTCAGTGGAAGGACAAAGCTGACTCTCAGAAGTTGTTTTCTCATTTCCCAGGCCCTGTGGGAGGTGGTTGCAAAATGAATGAATCAGTGAATGAATGAGTACCTCTGTGCTAGATTTCATGTTGACTGACAGGCTTCACTTCTGGGACTCTGGTCTTGAGCTTGCCTTTATATTGGTGATTTTTTGTTTTTGTTTTTATATTTGCATACCTTTCAAAACCATGCATTGCGGTCAGACTTCATTATTAAAAACTACTTCTGCAATACATTTTTGGGTTTGTTTTAACTGCGATGCCTGTCTGGACATGGGGTATATACTGATGTCTAAATGTAGGAATTTTCAGTTTTGAAACAGCAGTAAAGTAGTGCCTTATTATCAGGATATGTTTGTTTGTTGATTTTTAAAGTCTTGTGGATTTGGTCTTTTTAAATCCAGATTTTGTAATAGATCAGTGGTGCTGAATTTTTGTTCAGTTTTTTTGTTTTGTTTTGTTTTTGAGACAGGATTTCATTGTGTATTTCTGGTTGGCCCAATACTCATTATGTAGGCCAGGCTAGCCTTTAACTTAGAGATCTTCCTGCCTCTACCTCCAGAGTCCTGAGATTAAAGACATGAGCCATCATGCCTGGTAGTATTACTGTTTTTATACATCTTCAAATTCATTTTTGCTTATTAGATCTGCTGGGAGATTGTTGATAAATTCTTTCAATACTATCATCCTGAGTAGCATTGAGACTCAGTGATGGTGGCCGTCACAGAGAGAGTCTCCACAGCCAACCACAGTGAAGCCTAAGGTAGAGGCTAGCTATTTAGAAAGGATAAGAAGAAACTATTTCATCAATCCAGTCTAATAGTTCCTGATTTGGGGCAGCTGAGGCAGCTTTGAGGCAGCTATCTGGGGCCACATAAGTAAGGAAAGATTAAAAGGAGAGCTCTCTCTCTCTCTCTCTCTCTCTCTCTCTCTGTAAATGAGACATATTAGTTATTTTAATATTATGTCTGTGATAGAGACAATGAAATCTATGGTAAAAATATCAGACAATCTTATTGAGTTGGGCCTTTCTCTCCAGTCTGCCCTCTGGCCTTTCCTCTCTTTCTTGTTTTGGGCCATCTTGGTGCAAGGCCTCTATTTACTATATCATATTCAATTAACATTTTTTGTACCAAAGGATACATAAAAACCCAGACTTCTCCCTTTTCACATTTAAATAATGGGCACAGACATACTTGTCAAGACTTCATTTACATTTGTTTATATAGCCCTGGCTCCTCCCTTGTTATTATTGGATTGCTTTGTAGTTGAAAAGCAGAATTAAAAATTAGAACACGTCCTGTCCTTGTGGCAGTTTGTTTTTAGTATAGCAGCATTAGGTTCAGCTTTTCCCTGTCTCCAAATATGGTTTATTATTTTCTGCTAACATTTCAATTGTGCCAGTATCCTAAGGCTGTAATAAGAGAGGTTTTAGAATTAGAAAGAAATAAGATAGTACTTTAGACTATTTTTACGCTTGTGGAATTGATTATTGTGTTCCAGATGGCTATGGCATCCTTTATACTCTGAACCCTGCTTGGTGATCATCCCTTTTACAATATCTAAGAGAGGGATTTAGGATTCCTAGAATTGTAATTTCTTTTTGTATCTTTTGGTGTTTACAGCCTTTTTCCAGAGTAGTGTCTGACATGTATTGGTGTTCACATTAGAGCAGTGCTGTCTCTCTCATGGTGCAGTTTAGATGAATAAGTTGAAGGATGGGCTGTGCTGCCCTCCTGACAGGGACGTCCCCATGAGAGAGCCTCTCTGCTGGTGGTGCTCTTTAAAACACATCCACAAGAATCCCCTTCCTGATGTACAAGAAGCTTCAGCCAGCAGGAGACAACCTTAGCTGTCATGCGCCCCCTTGCAGAAGGACATCCCTTCCCATGTCCAGAGTCTGAGTTTGGCAGGAGTATCTTCAGTGGTGCTGTTCTGATGGTGATTCCTCCCTCTGCAAGTGCAAGACTGACAGCAGGTCGTGTTCTTCCTCTTATTTAATTTCCTCCCTACCATGTTGTTCTGTGACAGGTGTTGATTCCCCTCAGATAACCTGCTTGCCAGTTAGACCTGCGTAGGGACCAATATATGCTCACACTCAACCAGAGCCTTCTAGGGCTCTGTGCTGTAAACAGCAGCCCTATCCAGAGTGAGATTATGCTGTAAACAGCAGCCCTATCCAGAGTGAGATTATGAGGTAATGGGAATAAAGACAACACGCTTTGAACATTTTGTTTTTTTTTTCTATCCATAAATTCCTGGTAATGTAAATGAATTGAAAATGATTGAGACTATTGGTTTGTAAATGTTCTACTTTGCTCCTTAAATTGAATTTAGTGTAAAATACTTTAAGCATTTTAAGCTAGTGGTCTTTAAACCTGCTGTTTTCCTGCTGACTATTATGGTCCTATTTGAAGATAGCTGTTTTCTTTTACGTTGCTGTGATAAAGTAGTCTGACCAAAAGGAAGAATTTATTTTTGCTCATGGTTCGAGAGGGCTAGGTGTCCATGGTGGCAGGGAGGCATGTTGGCAAGAGCAAGAAGCTGAGAGGTAACTTCCAACTGCAGGGAGCAAGAATAGGAAGGTGGGTGAGGCTATGAACATTCAAATCTGCCCTCATTGATGTCCGTTCTTCAGAAGAACCCTTTAAAGACTCAGTAACCTCCCGAACAGTGCTCCCAGCTAGACACCAGATGTGTGGACACATGAGTCTATGGCAGTGCTTCGCCACTTAACTAGTGCTGGGAGCCTTTAATGCAGATCCTAGTCTTATGGTGACCACAACCAGAAAATTAGTTTTGTTGCTACTTCGTAACTATAATTTTGGTACTCTTATGAACTGTAATGCAAATATTTGATATACAGGATATTTGATGTGTGACCCCCAAAGGGTTGTGACCCACAGGTTGAGAACCTGGTGATTATTTATGTAATCCCAGCAATGTTTATTTCACTGTGTGATGCATGGACTAATTATATCT